ATAGTCCGGCCCCCCATAAGGTCTGAGGGACAGTGGACCGGCCCCCTGCTGAAAAAGTTTTCTGACCCCTGTGTTAGACCTTTTAGAACACATAACAAAGCATCCGGTGTCCAAGCAGCTCTAGAACAAAAGAAAATGATTCTCAGTGGAATAGAACTGAGAATATGGAATGCTAGAGCATTATGCACTTCATGTGGAACCCAGGCACTTTCTTCTGAAGGTGAAAGGAGTAAAGACATAAGCTGCTTCTTCTTTGATGGAAGATCAAAAAAACTTTGCTATAAACTTTAATTATTATGGACAAAATAGTTATGAACAAGTCTGTGCAGAAGGCTTATTTATTTACTTATTTACACACACACACACACACACACACACACACACTTGTAGTCTGCCCTGTGGAAAGATGGGATATACATATTTTAAATAAATACCAGACATGGGCAAATATTTCTGTGGAGGAATAAATTCTTCAGGAAGAAGAGCAAGATTATTGCTGTAACCTCTGAAATAATGAGAGTCAGAATTAGGGAAATCAATTTCTGATTGGCTTGAATGTACATTCTGTTTGGATGTGTCTAATAAGCCTCCTTCTGAACTGCTGTGCACATGACTAGAAAATCAAGGGCAGAGCCCTGCTAAACTTGTTTTGCTGGTGATCTCAATTTAGTTAGCGCCACAGAAAAGGCAGTTCCTTCTTGGTGTTCAGTTTATGAAAGTTAACAGTAGAAACTCTGACAAATTCTCTCTTTTGTTCTCCCCACCCCCACCCCTGTCCTGTCCCCCAGTGTTACAAAACGTGGGTTAACCCAAGCAGGATGTCTTTCAAGGAATTTCAGAATGAACTCTATGCTCTTGGTAGCAAGCTATGGCTCAAGCTCGAGGGACTATCCAAGGCTGAACCTTTGGAGATTGTGTTCTTTTTCATCATCATCTTGTTCATTGGTAAGTATGAATCATGCTTGCAACTTTCTGGGCTCATCAGATGGGTCTATTTTGTCATTCAGGAGCTATGAATAATGTATTCTTTTTTTGAGCCTTTCTTTAATCTACATGGTTTCTGACTCCTCAGCAATTGTGATGCTCAGGACAGGCTTGAAGTAAACGTTTGTAAGAATTCAGTGCAGATCTACGCTGCTAAGTTTCACCATACAATATAAATGCTGTTTATATGTGTGAATATTTGTGTGGCAGAATCAGGACTGGCAGCCAGCCCCTAGGTTCTATAGCACTTACAAGTTTCAGTCTGAACTTTATCATATGAATGGCATGGGAGCCAACATTTACAGAAATACTTAACTCTGGGTCAAATGGTAGTGTTGCTTTAGGCTACCATACTACAAGATTCGGGACGCGGGTGGCGCTGTGGGTTAAACCACAGAGCCTAGGACTTGCCGATCAGAAGGTCGGCGGTTCGAATCCCCGTGACGGAGTGAGCTCCCGTTGCTCGGTCCCTGCTCCTGCCAACCTAGCAGTTCGAAAGCACATCAAAGTGCAAGTAGATAAATAGGTACCGCTCCGGCGGGAAGGTAAACGGTGTTTCCGTGCGCTGCTCTGGTTCGCCAGAAGTGGCTTAGTCATGCTGGCCACATGACCCAGAAGCTGAACGCCGGCTCCCTTGGCCAATAAAGTGAGATGAGCGCCGCAACCCCAGAGTCGGTCATGACTGGACCTAATGGTCAGGGGTCCCTTTATCTTTACCTTTTACTACAAGATTATACAGGAGGTAGCATGTACAGTTTAGAGCTAACAGCGGAATCTCCCAGCATAAAGAGAATGAGGGCCAATTCACACATAACTTCTCCTCACTTGCATTCTCAGATGAATGTATGAAGTGTGCATATCCATTGCAAAGCACCATATCCAAAGCAGTATGAAAGCTCTGTCTGTGATAGATTTCAAATATGAAAGTCATCAAGTGATTAACATGCATGTGTCCAAAGATACACCAGGTGGCATGGAGCAGTTCCTAAAACAAGTGACGGGGTAATTAACAACCATAGATACCGAAGAAAGCTGGTAGATATAAAAGCAACTGTATAATGTTTTCTTCTGTTGAATTCCAAAGAAGAAAAGCCTGCTTGTGTACTGCAACAAATCCTCCCCTTGTTGGAATTGGGAAAGAGCCAGATGAGCCTAGCCTTCTTTCAGCTATAACTCTGGGCTAGCCTGAACTAAAGCTTTTTGACTAAACATGTTGAAGATTATTTCCTTTGCCCTTCACCTGCTGGTACTCCAGTTCTTTACATTAGAAATCAGCTGTACCTTTAAAAACAGCTACTACCACTCATATTCTGTTTGATTTGCAATGCAATGGGGTTTATAATCATTGTGCAACTCACACCATCCTTTGAGAACTGTCAGTATTATTTCTGTCTCGCTGAGGTGCTAAACAGTGGCTTGTACAAGGCCTCACAACAAGTTCATGAGAGAGGTGTATGACTTGAATCCAGAGATTCCCAGTTCCAGCGCTCAGTGCCGCTCTAGCGTTGGCATGATGTAAAAGGAACAGGGAATACAACCATACACTTTGTGCTCTTTCGCCATATAGACAAAGGCCATTAGTAGTAATAGTCATTGTTCAGCAGAGTGGGTTAATGTTCGTAAGTTTGAAAACCATGCAAAATCCTTCCCCAACCCATTACAAGAATTTCATTTCCCACTCTCCACTATAGTCCAAGTGTTGTTTGTGTCCTTTATCCATTCCACTTCCCAGGCCTCAGAGAACCAGCTGCTTCTTCCTTTCACTCCCTCTCCCTGCCTGTATTTTCTAGGAACCCATTACCTTAACAGTGATCATGACTGCCTACTCTCCACTCCAAGCCTGGGCGCAGCTGGGAGAGCAGGAAAGCGCAGGCTAATTTTTTTTGTAGGTGCCAAAAGCAAAACAATTAAAACAACGAGCATAGTTTGGGCATGCTTGTTCTAGAGCTGTTGTTGTTAGCAACTCTTAGTAATTAGTAATTCCAGAGGACACAAGACAAATGTAAAAGCCACAACTGTCCCTTTCTGGTGAGTCTATTCATTGTATTAGCAGGTTCGGTTGTTCTAACTCCTGGCTAGCAATTCCAGAAGCTAATATTCTCTCTCTCTCTCTCTCTCTCTCTCTCTGCCTTTCAGTTACGGTACTTTCGATGATGATCATAGCTTGCAGTTTTTGCTGTGCCCGCTGCTGTAATGGAACACCTGTTCACAAGCCTAGGAGGATCCAAGTTCGGCCGGCAGACTGTGTATGAGAATGCATTAAGAAAAGGGTGTGGAGGTACTGAGGAATGTGTGCAGACTGCTACCAGCTGGCACCACAATACTCTTCTACAAGATAGTGGATGAGAGCACTAAGGAAGAGCAGCGAGAAAGAGACCTCGTCCTGCCTAGGGTCTTATGCCATGGTTACTGTAGGGCCCTGATGAAGTGATGGAGTTCAGTATTTCTCTCCCTGCCCCTTTGCAGACAGTTTACTATCAAGACGAAGACAACTCCATCATGGCTGAGTCAGTTAATCCATAAAAGTGTGCAAAAATGCCACAAGCAAGCTAGCCAGGATTAAGACTGTTTAGACTTCTCCACCTGGTGGAGTTCCAGGAAGATGTTGAAGACGAGCAGTTTCCACTGAACTTCGAGCCACGTGCAATGGCTCAGCAGAACAAACGACAACATAAGCAGTGTTTCCTCCTCGATGTCCAACTGTCTGCAGCCAAAAACACAAGCACAACAATACAAACAATTTCATCCTTTCACAGAAGATGGCTCGTTGTCTGTTTGCTCTCTTTGGCAGTTTTCTTTCCTTAATGGAGGCAGTGAGGGATGGGGGGGGGAGTTATTACTGATGCTCTTCTTCACTGTCTCTGAATCTTTTAAAAACCAATCACAACACACAGGGGTTAGTTTTTGGTTCATTGTTGTGTCAAGAATACAAGAACATGTGATGTCTGATCAAGGTGATGGAACACTGCAGTTGGCATATGATTTCAGAGACTGTGAAGAACACCACCAGTAACAACTTCCCCCCCCCAATCCCTCACTGCCTCCATTAAGGAAGGAAAACTGCCAACGAGAGCAAACACACAACGAGCCGTCTTCTGTGAAAGGATGAAAACAAAAGGATGCCGAGCCACCAAAACACTGTGTCGTTTTGCTTGCCTGCCTTAAAGTGAATATTTCCCTCTTTCAAAATATATATTACATATTTGAGTGTTTTCTTTCTCATTCAAAAAGCCTGCCTTGTTTCCATGTTACAAGGCAGTTCTTTAGTACGGTGAAAGGGGAACAACATATTGTTTATATGCTTGGGGTTTGTAGTTAAATGCATTCTCTTAAATATATGTGATATGAATAGTTTATATTTGTGGCATTAATACATCTTATTTAAGGCAGTTTACGGGAAGAGTTTACAAAAAGAGGGACATTTTAGAGTGCTACTTTAGAGTTATTTGTGGAAAGAACATAATAAAAAAGGTTAAATTCTTCAATCCATTCATTGGTCTCTGTAGTTTAAAGTGTGCTTGTACACAGAGCTAATAAGATACAGCGAGGGCTGGTTTATTTCAGGAAATGTGTGCAGCAGCTGGGCAAGCTAAAGCACAGCCAAGAATGAGCTGCCCAGCTACAGTTTGCAACTGAAAGGAAATCCATTTCCACAAAGGCACACCTTGTGGACATTTGGTTTACACTCCAATGAACTTCAAAAGAGTTACATGTGTACAAGGCAAAAGGAATGGAACCAACCACATGCAAAAGGGGGGAGGATTATTGCCACAATGCAATGAACTGCACAGGTGTCATTCCTAAAAGATATGTCATCTATAGCAAAGCCCCTACATTTAGGAGATGCACTTATTCAAAAGATCAGATTTGCCCAAGTCATCAAGACCACGACCATGCACCACCAGAAGCGAACAAAGAATTATGTGAAGGATCTGACAGAATTCTGCAAGTCTTACGGTGTACTCTTATTCACAACTACTTGTTAAGTTCAACTGGAGTTACCCACAGGTAAACAAGCATGAGATCCCAGCCTAAATAATGAACTTTAATGCATACCTTCATTTTTGAAAGGGTAAACATTTAATCATTACAAACCTGCAGAAGGCAATTAATTCCCTATGTTGCTCCTGCCAGTCTTTTGTGACAGATCTACCTGCTTCCACACAATTGCTGGATCAAGCTCAGTTGTGGGACCTTTGTAACACACAGCAGGTGGGATTCAACATAGCACTAAGTGGAGAATGCATGCACAAAACAAGTTCCACTTGAGGAACAAGATTTTCCTGACTTTCCTCCCTCCACGAACCTCCGAAAATGTTCTGGGGGTTCCCGCCAGTAAGGATCCTACCCAGTAAAATTAGTTAAGTATGGTCAAAGACCAGAAAGAAGAAACAGTTTTAGCCTGCATGTTCTCCCATGTGCCTTCTCCAACTAAGCAAATATTACTGAGATTTGGAGGTGGCTCAATCAATAACAGTACAACATGGATAAAATGAAGCCTGATTGTATAATTCAGGCTTTCAGATAAGCCTCACCCTCTCCTGGCTGTGTTAATAATTTGCTAAAGTACAAACAGATATTAGACATTACACACTTTCTCTTTGCACAATTAAGGAGGTCTTCCCAGCAGACAGGTTCTAAAAAGGCAACTACATACAGCTTAAGGTGAGCAGAGTGTTCTCTATTCCTACTTTTCAAAAATTTACTAGAATCATCTGTAGTGACCTGTTCGCTCTGAACAAACTGCCACAATTATTAAGTTATTCTTGTGCCACAATTACTTCCGTCATTCTATGGGAAATGGTTTAAGGGTCACTAAGGGTCCTCCAGATTACAGATGAAATTTGCACAAAGCCCATTGCTGTTTCTACTTTTATTAATCTGGCTGTACACATATATGACATTGCTAAAGCAAACTGTTTTTATTTCAACAAGGAAGCATTATCCAAATATTTTTGCTGTGGTGCAGACAACTGGAGCGTGCCTGAGAGATTCAAACTGAGCATGGCTTTGTGTGGGAGAAATGTTACATTCCCCCTTAATCCCTCGTTTCATGCAGCATGTAGGCAAAAAGAGAGAAAACAACAAAAACCCAGAAAGCAATGATACAAATGCAGTGAAATTTAGCTGATGTTTCATTCTTTCTGCTCTCCAATTACTCCAATCTTTCTGCACAGCAGCAAATGTGAAGCGAGGGAATAATCCACATGCCCTTTTCAATGAGAACAGAACGTAGCAGGGGAATTAAAAGTACAAGCTGCTTCCAAAGAGATGTCAGGTTGCATTTAGATGTCACAACAATAGGCCTGTAAGCACTCCAATCTGAAAGGTGATTGGAGAGATCAGTCCTCTACAATTCTAAGAGGCTTTTAAGTGGGTGAGGTATTTATTTCAGCCACGGTTGCTTTGGGACTTTCTATTGGAATCTCTAAGAACAAACAAACAAACAAAAACCCGTAACATATGAAGCATTTGACACTTTGCAGGATGCAAGTTTTTTTGAATTGATGTATGTCATCAACTGAAATGCTAATACAGGCATAGGCAAACTTGGCCCTCCAGATGCTTTGGGACTACAACTCCCATCATCCCTAGCTAGGAGGACCAGTGGTCAGGGATGATGGGAATTGTAGTCTCAAAACATCTGGAGGGCCGAGTTTGCCTGTGCTAATATGTGAAATTTCATGGTGAGCTCCCAAAAGAAAGGAACTGTATAGAAATTTGCAAGGAGGTAAAGGGCAATTCTGTTTAGCACCACCATTTGGTCACAAGAAATTAACAATAATGACAGCCAAGCGAGGCGGGGAGAAAAGTCCATCCAGTCTGCCTTCAGTAGAAACTATTTCTGGATGTGATAGGGTAAAAGTGCAGGAACTCAAAGGAGGAGTGGAGTGCTGCTTCCTGTTGCTTCTATCCTCTATTAATTTCTTTACTTCATTTCAACATTTTTCTAGTGCCAGCTACATTATAGAGTGGGGCAGCAAGTTCTGCAGATCTGTTTACAGACAAGAAGTCTGAACACTCTTAATGTGGAATGCAAGCCTTGAATTCACTTCTATTTCTGGTGACTTAAGACTCAAATTTTTGAAAATGTTATTTGAGCAGTCGCCTAGATTTCTCGGCATACACATCCGTATTAAAGTAAACCCCCTCCACTTAAATGGAATGACACTTTAGCTAGAATCATAGAATTGTAGAGCTGGAAGGGAACCTGAGGGTCATCTAGTCCAATCCTATGTCAGGGCCTTTTCTGTTTCAGCATCTTTTTATGTACAGAATGCAATGGGAGTTGAGGATTTCCAGTAACGGCACCCAGCTGTTAACAGCAGCAGAATCAGCAGGAGTAGCTGCAAATGCAGCAAGGTGCAGAATGAGCAAACAATTGAAAACAACCTTGCTAACTTCTATCTATATTTATGTTGACCAATTCCTGTATCTGTGAATTGATGTAAAAGTCAATTATGTTTCTACAACGTAAAGAATGTGTGTTTCTGTATCTCTCAGAAGACAATAGCAGCAATATACAACAAGTTGAAACTTGTTCCCATGCCAGGCAAAAGTATTTTTCTTTTCCTAGTCACCTTAACCTCTGGTAAGCATATTCAAATACAGGGGAGGCCTTAATAAAACCCACCAACCCTGACTCATGGAAATTTGGCCAAACAAGGCCCCTGAAGCCTTCTAAAAGAGTAGCTAAGGGGACCAGGCACCTCTGCTCCCAATAGAAGTTGACACTGTCCTAGCGATGCTGCTCCTATTCCAGTGGTCTATGTATTAAATGCACATATTGTTTTAATTTTCCAGGGCCTGGCAATGATGTCCACTTCAATACAAACTGCTTCTCAAGACATTCTAAAACATCTGGAAACTCGGATTCTGTCAGATGACTGGGCTCTTGGGGGACTGGTAGTAATAGCTTCATTTGTCATGGTTATCATTGCACTCCTGTTGTTTGCTGCCATCTTTGGCTGCTGCTCAACTCCAAGGAATAAATCTGGCCCCATATAAAACAGCAAGAGCAGCCTTGTCTGTGGAATCTGAAGAATGCTGAAGTGGGACCAAGAAGGGGGAAGTATTGTTGCTTCCTGACACCCCTGTTTCACATGTACAAGTGAACATACTACAGAGGAAATTTGGCACTGTTCAAAGGTACACAACCAGCTTCCACACAAGGCCTGACACCAAATGAAATCAGCATTAAAGAAGCATGTGCCCGAGCAGGTCTGATTCACAACTAACTACTTCTAGCAAAGGAAGTGACAAAAAATTGTTTAAGAAATAGCTGACATGAAAGAATTTGAAAATTCAAAGACTGTTCAGTTTTCCTTGAAATTGTACATTTGTCTTTCTTTTTTTGCAACCAGTATAAGTATAGATAACCTAATCAATAGTGAAACTAAATGAGACTAAATGAGCTGTGTTTTTTAAATGCATCCACATGAATCCCTTCCCCCATTTCTTATCTTATTTCCATAATCTTCCAAAGGCAGCTGGCTGATAGAGCTGAGCCGAAGGGTGGAGGAAGAATGCCCATTTCATTAAAATCTTCAATATAATTATCCTCTTTCTTTTAGAGATGTTTCCGGCTGCTTCAAAAGGGTTGAAAAATCACTTTGCTTGTTAGTAATTCTTGAATGGAAAGGATGACCAGTATAGAACACATTGCTCTCTCTAAATGAGATTCATCTGTCACTAGAGAGTTTAGCACCTAGCCCACCCAGGCATAGGCAAACTCGGCCCTCCAGATGTTTTAGGACTACAACTCCCATCATCCCTAGCTAACAAGACCAGTGGTCAGGGATGATGGGAATTGTAGTCCCAAAAATATCTGGAGGGTTGAGTTTGCCTATGCCAGACCTAACCAAATCTGATTGGCTACTTAGCATTGTAATATCAGCACATGAACCCTAAACAGCTAGAATATCTCAAGGTTGGGAGGAGTGACCCTGAAGCAACAGTAAAAAGGGAAAACAGTAGCTATTATCATCCAGTACTCTCATATGAATTCAGGCAGCCACCACCGAAAACTATAAGAACTGAACTCAAGGATTGTATTATAAACTACTTGTCTTAAATAGTTTAGGGATATTTTGTTTCAACCAACACACAATTATTTCAAAATTTTAGACCAGGGACGTCCAAATTCTCATACCACGTGAGCCACAAGAATACTCTGCCATGGAACACATGGGCCCCCCCCTGCCTTGTCGCACGGGGTGGAGCGGGGTGGGGTGGGAGTGAGACCAAATTTTGACACCCTGCCAACCCTCATGCTGTCTTCCCAAAGCCCAGCACCTCACCCAGCTGTGGGAAAGCAGCACGAGGGCTTGGGGGGGGGGATCAAATGTTGTTGAGTGCCACCGGGTGCTTCAACACCCTGTTTTAGACCATGCATAAGTCAAAAAAGGTAACCTTACTTTAGAATGCCTGACCAATTTGTCTTCAAAATTCCTGAATACATATTCTATGCTGGGATAGCTCTGTTGGTAGAGCATCAGACTCTTAATCTCAGAGCTATGGGTTTCAACCCCGCTAAATTCACATTACGAGATTCAGACTATGGAACCAAGAAATTACAGTTATACAGGATAAGAAAATCAATATAAGGCACTATGGCCTTCTACCTGTCCCCTTATTCTATTTTAATAGCAACTTAACGCAATAGCAGTCTGCATCATAAGAAAGCTGTCAAGCATTTTTATTTGCTCCTACCGTATGACCATACCTGTAGTAGGGCATCTGCGTTAGATTATGGGCATATCTACATTTGCCTACTTAGCTAAATATATATCACTCTTTTCTCTCCAAAAATAAGCCAGCGACAGCTTCAGCATAGCATTTTGTTTCAAGTACAGAGTTCTCAATTTAGTACAGGTTGCAATTTGTGTAGTGGTTACTTGTCTGTAATTAGGGACCCCTGCTGGACATGTGCACATTGAACTGTGTCGGGTCGGCCGCAGGCATGGACGACCCCCAGGCAAATGACAGGAACGTTTCCAGCCTGTCCCTCCCATCAGCATGCAGCTCTAGGGAGTTCTGACAGCCTTCCCCGACAATTTAGAGTGACTCATGCCTTGGAGACACTGAGCACACATCCAGAGTCCAGCAGAGATAAAATGCAGTCAGAGCTAGGCAGGGGTTGTAAGCACTAAGCTACTTTATTAAGCATAAGGCAGAACAAAAGAAAACATGTCTCCTCTCTCTGGTCTTCCTCAGAGAGAAGTCAGAAGTGAAAGCAAAAACAAATGGAAGCAGAGTACAGTAAACATCCGCTCCCATGATTCCAACAGTTGGTGCTGGAATGCATAACACAGACATGTGATGAACCAATCCTACACAATATCTGCACAGTGAGAGGAATAGAAACCCAACAGGCTGCAGTCAACTAAATAGTTTCGCTAGCAGGAACCAATGCAGTGAGACTCCCCGCCCTCCCCATATCTCTTTGGGAGGTTGGGAGAAACCCCAGAAGAGTGCACAGGGATGGGAGAGAGGAAATTGTTCCGTTTGGGAAGCAGGAAAGCTTGCACTCATGGAATGACCATAATAGTACTGCAATGAATTCCATCCAAAATATCCAACTCTCTAAAGGGCTGACCATTCCAAACTTCTATGCAAAGTTTCACAACCAATGGACCACTATACATCACAGGAGGCAGCTTCATGACTAAACAATATTCAATTAAAATTATTTCTACATCAAGCCATTAGGTTTCATATTGCCTTTCTTTTCAAAGAAGTTAAAGCTAGTAAGAGGTTCCAAAAATACAGTAATATGTAGAATAGATTTCCTACCAGAAATCTGGTAAACATTCCTACCAGAAATTTCCTACCAGAAACCTTTAGCAGAAATCTGGTAAAAATAATACAACATGGACCATTTGTGCTACCACATACACATAAACCTCCATTATGAGATCAGTCTATCATGCTGCATTTCCACGTCATAAAAAGCAAAGCCCTCAAGATTCCAATCACTAGGAAACAAATATATGTTTCTCCAATCCATCAACTATTAGGATAAACCTACCCCAGTTCTTCAGAGAAGGCCACCATAGCATCAAAGTCTTTCAACATAGCTTTACTGGAGTCTTTCCATCTGGAGCCTCGCTTTTCCTGAAGAAAGGTAAAAGCAAATAAGCAAAACCACTTATTTTTAGAAACACTGTGTTCAAAAGCAAGCTTTCTTTCAGAACTACGCCTCTTTCCTCTAGTTGCATTGTGACACAATAACCAATATTTATTCAACTCTGTAAGAGTGCTACACATAGGTAAAACCACAAACTTTTCAGGTGCACCTTTTGTGCACCTCAGTGCAACCAAACCTTAATATTATATTTTTCATCCTAATGTTGCCTCCAGCACTTCTCTAATGCAGCAACAAATGACTCCATATGTAGCCCCTCTGAAGTGACAGTAGGGAAATCTAAAGGTCTCTATACTGCCACGTATTTAGTAAAATGTATATCTTCCTCTTAATTAGCATGTGAAGGGACCTCACAAAATTAAAATTACATACAATTACACTACATCAATGCAAGAGCATAATATATAGTTCACTGTAATCAAAGGACTATTAGCTAAGGCACGTGAACTGCATTGAACCATGTCACACAAGGTTCTCACCTGCAACGTAGCAAGTTCCTTCTTGATCAGGAAGCTGATTTGATCCCTGTCATCCCGCGAGTAATAGAGGCGACAGCTGGATGGCTTTCCATCTCTCCCAGCCCTTCCGGACTCCTGGTAATACCCAGCTATAGATTGTGCAAGATTCCAATGTGCAACAAATCTGCATGGTGTAAGACAATTAAGCTATTACTTTCAAATCCCTATCTGAACAAAACTAGAACTGCATACAAATCCCAGACCAACCTAAGCATACAAAAAAAGAGAGACCACTCTGTGAGAAGCCCAATTTTTGCTGTTAATTACACCCTTTTGTTAAGAGGGACAGGCAAGGAAATATAGTGGTACCAGGTTCTTCCAGATGTTGAGCAAATGTATATTGCACAATCAGTATGCATCGCCCATTTGGGATGACTTCACACACCTGACATTAGCTTTGTCAACTCCCATTCCAAAACTGATAGTAGCAACAATAACTGGAACCTTCTCCTCCATCCATTCATTCTGAACCGATGTTCTATCTGCTACTTTCAGTCCTGAGAAGAAGCAAAAGACAAGAGTGCGATACCAGCAGGAAGAACCTCTACTCTTACCGTCATCACCAAGGGGCAAACCACACCAACCTATCAGTCCCTAGTTGTCTTTGAATCCATCTACCTGCCTACTTTTCCTATCCTGTTTTGCCAGCATATGTGAGGGGAATCCAAGACCTAAAACAGAATTCTCATGGTCTGAGGATGGAGTCTAACTCCATAAGCTCCCAAGACTATGTGTACTCAGATCCCCAAACCTCCTTCAGACACAAAAGGGAATAAAAACGTGGTCCGGTAAAGCACTGTGATTAGCAGGGAAGCAATGAGGCTTCCAGTTTGGCCAGGCAGAAGAATTAGAAGTCCTGCTTGGGTCAACAGAGCAGCACCTACAGCCTGTGACACTCTAGGACCCAGCTCCTGATGGCAGGGAGCATGTGTTATAGAGTATACATTCCAGTTCCTTGCATAGCTGCCTGTGATCCCAACCTAGTACTGACAAGAAGTATCACCGAAAAAGCAGTACAGAACAAGTTTAGAAGCCAAGTATGAGACGTTTTCCCTTGGAACTCATGTGTGGGGAAACTAAAGCAAAGTTGAGTGCAAAGGGCTTCAGGGAAAGTCAATACACCAGAAGTACTCAATTTAGCAACTCTTTTGGCATTAATTCAAACATCCAGTTGCAAGCCAAATAAAAAGGGGAAAGGGAAGAAGGTAGTGGATTGAGATAAGCGTTCAGAAATGGCAGAAGAAACAGGAGGACTAGGAAGGGAAGCGTGGGAGAATCATGAGGCAAAGAAAAGCAAGCCGGAGCAGGAGAAGTTTGGGGGAGGTCCAGGAAAGGAGGAATTACAATAAGAAAGCACGTAGAGAAAAGGGACTAGGAGAAAGGGAGCTGGGCTAAAGTTAACTAGGAATAGAAAGGAATGCTGGGGGATGGCAATCATTCACACACATCAGCCTCCCCAAACCCAGTGCCTCCCAGGTGCTATGGATTACAACCTCCATCATATCTAACCATTGGCCATGCTGAAGAGAGGTGCAGTCCAGAACAGATGCAGGACTTTGCCACTCCCTCTGGCCCTGAATTTTGAGCGACCTGAAATCTTACCCCTGACACAATGATCTGGCAGGATAATAAGACTCCTGTGCTTTGGAATGGACTCTATTCAGCAAGATCATATCAGTGTGGTACTAAATTTGCATTCTAAAGAACATATTAAAGAAAAACAAGTCAAGACCGGGCTTTGCAAACCACAGTATACTGACTGGACCCTGAGGCGAGAATAAAGAACTCTTTTGCATACTTAAAAAATGCTTACAAATCAAAGTAACGCAGCTTTTTCTACCTGCATGGTATGCCTTGGAGTTGACTCCTCTGTAGCTAAGTTCAATAGCCACTTGTTCACATACTTCTCTCTTCCTGCAGTAGACAATTCCGCAGCCTGAGTAGCGCTACACAGGGGGAGGAAGAGTAGGCAACATAAATCAAAGTGTCATAAGGAAACCTATTAATGTTATTAAGAGCTGGTATAGATCCAAGGTATCAAGAAGAACAAAACAACGGGTGGTATTCAACTGCCACATCCCTGTTAGCAAAAGGATTTCCACTTATGCAACAGGACTTTCCCTCTTTTCCACACAAACAGAAATCCTTGTGCTGACAGAACAAGAAATTTAGTGCTGTGATGGATTCCAGCCAGTGGTAATAGCCTTTCATATGCATGCCTTATGGCCAGCATTGTACATATTTTATGCAGGAATTTCATAGAAGGGAACATGCAATCCAATGAAATCAACTCTCTTGAGAATCACAGATTTAACTCTTCCTCCTCTCCCTTAAAAGAAGTTATTGGGAAATGCTTTAAAAATGTATGAACTACAATAAACACTAAATCCACAGAAGGGCTTCTGGTCCTTAAATTCTATGAATGACTCTGACAGATCTCTCAATCCTACCTTCGCAGTGAATGACAGCATTGCTTTACAAGCAAAGCCTCTGGTCCTTGGGATACCAGGCTGCCAAATTAGTGAGGGGTTCTGAAGAGATTAACAGGGTAAAAGATGGGCACTTATCCAGTGGGTGCCCTTACGATGCTTGCTGGCTGGAAATGGAGGCTATGGCAGCACTGGACAGAGTTACTTCAACCCCCCTGTGCAAGGTGTCCATGAGCCCTTGCTGAGGGACATTATTAAAGAATTTGGCCTGCTAGTCCATTGGCAGAGTTTGGAGCTGGGCTGCCAGGAGAGGTGGTGGCTTTCTTCTCTGAAGCACCTCAGTGACTGCAGAGTGAGAGAGCATGCTGAGTGCTGCACATGCCCAGTGTGGTTCCCCACGCCACCCCTGTTGCCACTCCCTTTGCCAGTGAGCAGAGCACCACATACAGGAGGCTTGGAGACGTCTACTCACTACTCTTGAATCTGCTTGCTACTCTGGGCAGCTATCTCCCTCTCTTGATGGGGGATGCAAGGGGCTCAGGGAGATCGTTTGCTACCCTAGGCAGCTGTCCCCTGTCAGCTGGAGGCTGTGTAAACTGGAGGATCATACAGCACTGGGCACCATCACAACACCCAATGCTCTAAAAGCATTATAATCTCTCCCTGTCCCTGTATACGCCTAAGGACTATAAGCAACTGCCAAGCAGTAGCCCAGGAGCAACCACATTGCCCTGCTTTTCTCTAGAAGGCAGAGCCGAAAGCTGGAAGGTTCCTCCTTTCTAGACAAGCCAAAGGTTGTTTTTTCCCCTGATTGGCCTTGCCTTATTCCCAAGTGGAGTTAACGGTTTACCATCTGCTCTGCTGATCGAGAATCCCCTTTCATTCATCCCCTGCCCCAATAAAGTTAAGTTTTAGGAAATATATTCCAATCCACTTAAAACAAAAGCTGCCTAGAGTAAGACAGACAGGGGAGAAAACTTTAAAAACAAAATCTTTCCTACAGATTTAACTCACCCCGGAGTCATTCTTCTGCCCAAGACACTTCAGACAGAACTGTTTCAGGTTTTCATACGGATCCGTTAAGGTATCTTTATATTGCACATCATAGAACAGGTTGGACCTGAAGCAAGGTGTTTTGAAAGTGGCAACAGGCCTCTTTAGCTTAAGCGATGCAATAATATCATCTTGGACCTGTTTAGTGGCTGTGGCCGTCAGGGCTATGCATGGAGTGTTGGGTATTTGACTGCGCAAAGAGCCAAGTCTCAGGTAGTCTGGTCGGAAGTCGTGCCCCCACTGAGAAACACAGTGAGCCTCATCAACTATTAGGTAGGAAAGGAGGTTTCGAGACACTAGAACCTTCAGGGTAGGCTGAAAGGAAGAGGAAGCTGCCATCTCTGGTGTGATGTAGAGGAGCTTTATCTGAGGCTTGTCACACATCAAGTCAGCTAAGATAGCCTTTTTCTCCTGAGCAGAAATCTTGGAGTTAAGAGAGCTGGCTTTCACTCTGAGCAAGAGCAAATGGTCCACTTGGTCCTGTGAAAGAAAAAAGAGCAAGGCGCTTAGAGGAAAGCATCCTTCTACCAAAATAGCTGTCATACAGATATATTCCTAATCAATCAGGCTTTACCACCAGCCCTGTAGTTTGCAAAAAACATCTCCGTGTTATATTTATTTTAAAGACTTAAAATATTGTTCTTTTACATAAACTGGTTGTAATTAGGCAGCCCAACATAATCAAATGACAAGACTGTCAATCTCTAGTCTATTTCATTAGCAATGATAATTTTACAATGTCTGGCAATCAATTTGTTTCTCTGAGGTAGTGAAGTTCAAGAAACCATATTAGTTTACTTTCGAGAACAGGGAATTGTGTCAATATATTGCATTTTTATCTGCATAACAGATACATTAAAAAAAACAGAATAACCTTCTTCACTCAAACATCCAATACATTAAGAATATTAGGAATTATTATAAAAAGGATTATTTCTATCAGGTTATATAGCACACCACTGAATTATACACTAACATAACTATGATCTGTGTTTGGTCAACTTGACACCACAGATGAGGTGGATTCAGCTAATATGGTACCTATTCTATTTCAATCATCTCAAATTTTACTTTTTTGACCATAAGCAAGACACAACAGGTTCTTCAAGATTCCATTCTTTCTTACAATAAGAGGTATTACCTGAATCAGTGAAATTAAAGGTGAAATGACAATAGTGATTCCTGTTGCCAGGACTGCTGGAAGCTGGTAGCACAGGGATTTCCCTGCGCCAGTGGGCATGCATACAAAGACATCCTTCTCCCCTGCAAAGGCAACAGTGCAGCAATCAAGGCTTTTTAAAACACAAATATATTTATCTACATTTCTGGGCTGGGGGCATGGACACTAAGTGTTTTGGGGAAAGCTGATAACATTTACAAAATATCTATATAAACATTGTGCTGGCAAGAAAATAAATTGATAGTTAACAGAAAAATAGAACACTTGTTACACAGAATCATAGACTGTAGAGTTGGAAGGGACTCCGAAGGTCACCTAGTACAACACCCTGAAATGCTGGAATCTCAACTAAAGCATCCGTAACAGATGGCCATTCAACCTCTGCTTAAAAACCAGGAGAGTCCACCACCTTCTGAGAGAGTCCATTCCACTGTCAAACAGCTCTTCCTGCCAGAATATTATTTCTGATGTTGAGTCAGAATCTCTTTCTTGTGACTTGAAGCCATTGGTTCAGATCCTATCCTCTAGCTTGCTCCAGAAAGCCCTGCACTAGAAAAATGCAATGGGTACCCCACTTCTGTTCATAGCCAATAGACTGTGAAGGTCAAGAAAGATAGGGATGGGAAATGTCCCCTTTCTCAATTTTTCTAGGTTTCCACATCTCTAATGGCCAAGCATGGGCATATGCCAGCCATCAAATGACAACACAAAACCCAGCTTTGTAGTAGACTATGCCTCAATGCACAGCCATACAAATGAACATAATGAAATGGCCAAAATCTGAATGTGGAATGTCTCTTGACTGCCTTTCAGCTCCCAGCTGGAAAGCACGACACCTGTATGCTATCTTTGGCTGCTTCTACTTCACAAGCACCAATGCAAGTGTCACACAGTAGATCATGCTTTAAGTTTGGGTGCAACTGTTCCAGGTTTAAAGCTTTGCTCAGCTTAAGGCAACTCACTTTCAGACACCATACTGCAAAACATAAACACAATTAATTGACACTAAACGTCAGTGAACAGAATGAGGCTTACTTCCCAGCAAGCACATTTAGCACCGTGCTGCAAACCTAATAACCCAAAAAATAAAGGAATTGCCATAAACAAAGCAGTAGATTAGGACACAGTGAATTTAAGAGACTGAAAGTGCAACCCATGTTTGCTTGGAAGTATACCTCATTGTTCGATAGAGCTTATTCCCTTGGGCAGCAGCCTTGGCCAAGCATTCACTTGTTCCCTGTAAGAGACATTTCACTGAGGAATTTATAATGGATTGTAAGCCCTATGCTCCTTTGGGAAGAAGAGGGTATACATTTAATAAATAAAGTAGGGCTGGCTAACTTGTGGCCCCACAGGTGCTGTTGGATTTGCAGCTTCTATCAGTAACACCTGGAGGGCCACAGGTCAGCCACTCCTGCCTAAAATTTGACCACAACACCTTCAGCTATAGGGGAAGTATATTTATACAAATTGTATAGCCTTTGTACCGTATAGTGTAATTAATGCAAACTCCAAAGCAGAAATCTAATTTCTGTAAGTATCATTTGTCATCATATTTTTACATTTAGCAGAAATGAAGGAACTGTGGTGTTTTGAATAGTATGTAAAAAGAAAAAGGCAAAATTATTCAACCCTACTATATATTGCAAAAACAGGTGTTTGCAATTTACCTTTCACAACAGTTCTGGTTGCACTTTCCTGCAATGAAGTCTTGAAAGTGTCAAATCCAAACACTTTTTTCAGAGTTCGTTGAACTCTATCTTCTAGTCTTGAGGAAGAGCAGTTACTCATCTTAAAAGGAGATACTGGAGATAATTCAAAATAGAGATAAGGAGAGGATCGTTGTGCAATTATGACTGTCTGCTACAATCCATCATTTAGCCACAAGGGGCTTCTCAGGGCAGGCAGAGTGGAACAGCCCCATTTAGATATACCCAAACTTACTTATGTCCACACTTTCCTTTTGGCACAAACATCTACATTCAGCTATGTTCTCTAATCCAATAAAACAGAAAGAGTTCTCGAAATGCCTGCGCCATCTGAAAAGCCGAAGATGTAGGCGCAGCAGAAGAGGACGCTACCTGAAAGCAAAAATACCTCTCATATCAGAACACACTGCTTCTGATTAGCTGCTGCGAGTCACTTTTGGGCTGGTTTTCTTCGCTCCTACTAATCCTACAGCTGCTTTTAAAGTTATGTTACTTCCTCTGAAGCCTGACCTCAATCCCATTTATACATCCTTTTAACCCAACTCACATGCCAGCTCTTTCAGGAGAAAGAAACTGAAACAATTCCTAAGCACAAAGGTAAATCAGCTCCCACCCTTACTGTGTAGCCAGAACACTACGATTCTTAACGACCCTCTTCCTCCTGAATTTTACTAGAGTTGCAAGGCCTTCCCTGACCAGTTTCCGTTTCCTTCTTCCCAAATAATGTCCAGCTGCCCAGAACTACCACAGATAAAGCGGGAGGGCGAAAGAGCGGGGAGCGGGGACTACATGGAGAGCCTCTCAGCCCGGCTTTCGACTTCGCGCGCACTCCAGCACCCTCCGTCTCAGAGAAGGCGGGCCACAGGGCGGGTGTTTTAGTTTTACAACATCGTCCAACGACACTCCAGGCCCCTTCCGAGTCGCCGCTTACCGCCCACCCGCCACCCGCGCGCTCAGGCAGTTTCCGGCAGCGGCACGGATTCGGCGCGCGGCGAGATGACGTCCGCGACGGCTTCCGTTCGCGAGGCTATAAGAGCGGTTGCCGCGGCAACAGCATTTTCCCCAGCAGCCCGCCTCGTGCGTCACTCGGGCGCGCCGGAAGGCAATTCGCTCGCGACGCTCGGATAGAAGAAAATGGCGGCGGCGAAGAAAAGCGTCCTCTCTTCTTTGGCCGTTTATGCTGAGGATTCCGAGCCCGAATCCGATAGTGAGGCCGGTGGAGCGGCCAGCGAGCGAGGAGCAGGGACGACGGGTGAGGCCTTGGTGGGACTATGGCGGGGCGGGGAGGGAATCAAGGAATGAAGGGTGTTCGGGGATGTCTTTTTTTACGCCGGGGCCTCCACGGAAAGCTGGAGGGGTCTGTGGTGGGAGGATATTCCCCGCCCCGCCGCTGTTCGGTAAAAGGGGGAAATAATCACGCTTCTCTGGGATGATGGAAGACGACGTGGCGTTTCGCCAAGCAGCATCTTCTGCCTAGCGTTACTTTGTGTTTAGGGCGTATAGTGAGGCTACGAATTCACCTAGAATTTGCGTGCCGGATTTACGTATAAGCTAAGCAAGCTATAGCTTAGGGCCCCACTATCTTGGGGGCCCCTAAAAAAATTAAAGGGAAAAATTAAAGGGATGTACATTTCCAAAATATAAGATAAAAAACAAACAAAATAAAACCTACATACAGCAACAGTGTTTTGTGTTGTGTAGGCTCCTATTTGTTATGTGCAAATGGCTTTAGATACCTATTGGGTCCATAAATTGTAATATAGCATATATTCAACAGACAAAAAAGTGACAATTTGTTGTTGACAAAGGACAGCTGGATATTTAAAGAGTCCCATTACCTCCAGTAGCTTAGGGCCTCATCAGACCTAAATCCGGCCCTGACCTAAATTATTGTTATTTGCTGCTGTATTGTGGCTGGCAGTGGATCCCAAAAGCCTGGGCCATTGGCTCTTCCCCGGCATTAGTGCCTGATATCCTTTTAAACGGAGATGCCTGGCATTAGACATTCTACTTATAAAGCATATGTTGTGCCACTGATTTACTTCCCCATCCCCAAGCCTACCGAGGACCTTCGTTTCCCCCCCCCCCTCCCAATGTCTGCCTTCCAGCCAGTTTTCTTTCTCAGAGGTGTATTTCAGATGCCTGTGATTCAAAACTAGCTTCTGATGTGCAGCCACACCGGAACCTTTATATGTAAAATGTGCTGTTAGCTTCTTAACAACAACTGTAATATGCAGCTGCAGTGTTTGATTTTATGCAAGCTGTGAATTGTGTGCCCACATTTGTAATTATCAGGGCCATCACACAATGTCTCAAATATAGAATAAATGTTCATAAATGCACAAGGTAACCACATATATAAACCACATATCTAAAATAGTACAGGACAACAATCCTGAAGCCATTTTGACCCTTCCAAAAGTGCCTCAAATATTTCTCTGCAGTTGGAGGAAGTTTTCCAGTTGTCTTTTCACCTCCAAATCCAGTTAATAAAACAAATCCTGTAATGTAGGTGCTTACATCTCCCAGCAAATTCAGTCTGGCAAGAATCTGTTAAGGTGAGCAGACTATCAATAGGTGTAAATTAGTAAAGATATTTGGGAACTATAGTATTTACCAACCCAAAAGGAATGACCTGGCTACCCAGGCAATGCAATCAGAAAGATTTTATCAGGTACCTTGGTAGACAGTAGAGAATTTGTACTCAGATTTCTGCTGGAGACTGCCTCCTTCTGTGATGTATGTATGATGTTTTTGGGGTGGTCTTGGGCTAAGGGGTGTGCAGTTTCAAAGTCTTTATAGGGGCTTGCACACCTTTGTTCTGGGTCTCACCTCCATGTGGGGGGGACTCTGTTGCAACAGATAATGAAATATATTCTTTGCTTTCACTGGATCCTTGCCTCCATCTATTCATCTCTGACCCATCATGGACTTAGGGGACTCAGTCCCTTGGGGAGTTGGGCAGCAAAAGCCAACCCCCCTATTTTTCTATAAAAACACATGCTACTGTTAAATCAGTATCAATCTCTTGCATATGTTTCCACTGGAATACCAAATGATCACTAGCTTGATTTTTTATTTTTCCCCTTGTTTTGGATGAGGTAGAAGAAAAAGGAGGTCTGGTGTCAGAAGGCTACGGAGAGGATGACTTCAGTAAAATGGAGGGAGAGGAGGATGGTTATGATGATGATGAAGATGAAAATAGTAGACAATCGGTAGGTATATAATTCTATTAATGCTGAGTCTATACAAACTTCTTTTGTACCTTCCACTTTGTAATAGATTTGCTGGGCTCCTCACTTCTTATTTCTTTCTCTTATTGCTATGTATGTGCTTATAGAGTTATAGCTTAAAATGTCAGAGAGGTAAACACATCTGGAAGTATGACTTTCATAGAACTGTAGAGTTGGAAAGGACAATTGGGGTAGTGTTGTCCAACTCCCTACAAGGCAGGAATCCTTTACCCAAAGTGGTGCTTGAACCCACGACCCTGAGATTAAGAGTCTCCTTCTCTACCAGCAAGCCATCCCTTCAGTCTTCTAGTGGGCTCTTTGGCATCCACTTGTTACAGTAACATTCTCGATGGCTCCTATTCAAGTTGTCAGTTATTTTACTAAGTGGTCTGTACCCTAGTTAAGTTGTAAAAGAAACTTAGTTGTATTTCCTCCCCTCCAATTTTAAGGAACAACATTATTTCAAATAAGCTGTAAAAATGTATGACGAAAGATGTCTGAGAAAGGTCTGTGGTAGACCTGTAGTCTAAGATATGCTGGAAAGGGTGTTCCTTTACACCATATATTTTATTATGGTAGTAAATTCCACCTCCTGCACTGTGTGAGAAATGTCTAGTACGCAAGAAGATGAAGTGGGGCGGGGGGGGGGAATCTACAATACAGTTTATATTAAAATAGTTGCTTGATGATGTTGGCAATATTAGCATGACAGACATTTGAAATGTCTTGTCATATACGTGGTTTGTGTGTGTCAGGTTGTACCTGTATAAATTTCATTCTGTAACCTGTCAGAGGGAGAGGACAATTTGCTCCAGTTGTTTTGCAGTAACGATTTCTTGCTGGGTTAAGATTGGTCTCCCAATTTTTTAGCATTGTGCTTATCATTATCTGTAAAATTACTAGAGCAGACACTCAGATGGCATTTTGTAAGAGGTTACTGTGATGAACATTTCACAGCCTTTTCCAACAGAAGTCATGTGCATTTCTGTTTGTTTTTATTAGTTTGCAAGAAGCAAAGTACTACAGTATATGTCACTTCCTGTCTGCATACGTGTTCCTTTTGTCTGATGACAACTTTGCATATGTATATTGTTCAGAAATAAAAATTAACAACATCCTTAGAACCAAACACATTAAAAAGTAAATATCTTGAGGACAGTTTTTCAGACTATGGTCTAATTCCCTATTTTTCTGTATGGTATTCGCTTTAGCTTGAATAACAGTGCCTATAATTGGTATTATTTTACCTGAGAACAAAGCATGTTTGTATTGAGTGGAATTATTATTTAATGTTCTACATAATACAGTAGCTAAGCTTTTGTTCTTGTTAAAACTTAAGCAATCCTTTTTCCTGGGAATGGGATGAGGGAGAACTACCTTTTTATAGTCATGGTTGATTTTTGTTTTGGTGTCTGTGAAATGGCAATTGTTCAGTATACAAGTCTCATAGAGAACCTGCTAGGTCTACATCAGTTGTAAAAAGATGCACAAAATGAGTGTGGTAATAATTTTGGTCTCTGCTGCTGAAAGAGAATAGAAACTTTGGGACTTCATTGAATTGTTCTTTAGCAATTATCAGAACCAACAGATTGGTAATGTAACTTTAAGGCAATACTGGTATGCTGATCTTCTTAAATACTGTCTTCCCCATTCCCACATTGATTTCATCTTCACCAACAATTTGGGTTGTCCTCTTCAGAGGTGTGGATTTTGTTGGTTTAAGAGCATAAGAAGAGCCTGCTGGAATGGGCCAAAGGACCATCTTGTCCAACACAGTGGGCAACTAGATGCCTATAGGAAGCCCACCATCAGAACCTGAGTGCAACAGCACTCTCCTAACCTGAGATTCCTCTGAACTGGTATTCAGAGGCCTACTGCATCTGACACTGGAGGTAGAACATAGCCTTATCCTCCATTAATTTGTCTAATTTTCTAAAGCCATCCAAACTGGTAGCTATCACTGGGGATGTGGGAGCGAGTTCCATTGTTTAGGTATGCACTGTGTGAAAAAGTATTGTCCTGACTCTTCTAAAATTCAGCTTCATCCACGAGTTCTAGTGTCATAAGAGAGGGCAAAAAAATCTTCTCTGTATCTACTTTCTGCATACTATGCATCATTTTATCAACTTCTTTTTCACCTTTTCTCTAGACTAAAAAGTCCCATATGTTGTAACCTTTCCTCCATCCCCTTGGTGATGTTCCCGCCCCACCCCCTTCTTTACTTTTCTAATATCTTTTTTGAGATAACACAACCAGAACAGTACACTGGTTTCTCAGCGTGGTTGCACCATATAATGAATGGCATTTTGATACCGGCAGTTCCGTGCTCGGTCCCTTTACTAATGATTCCTAACATAGTATTCATCATCTTCTCAGCTGTCACACACTGGATTGATGTTTTCACCAAGCTATCCACTGCAGCCCCAATGTCTTGTTCTTGGTCAGTCACTGCCAGTTCAGACTCAGTGAGCATACACTGTGTTTTGGAGGTCACAAAATCAGAGAGGTGTTAATAATTGCTAGTATGTTTAGATCTCATGTTTGTTCGCTCTTTATGAACTGTCTTGGTATAAAAGAGTGGCAGTGAATAATTTCCGCTTGACACAAATTTCTTTTCCTATCTGTGCTGGCTTTTTTGTTGTCTGTTTTTCGACAAATCAAATGTAATATGGGCATTTGTAATCTATACCGACACCTGTTCGATGTAGATGTAGAGATGTCTTGTTAATGTCATATTTTATCTGAATTGATGTTTTATCAGAGGGAGGGAAAAGTATTGCAAAAACAGCTCAGCTGAATGCAAAGGTGAAGCTGGGCTATTTAATGCAAGTCCCTTGCTACACATGCAAGAACTTGCTGAGCCCACTCTTTAAAGCTTAATCCTGTAAATTCTTTGTCTTATAGGAAGATGACGATTCAGAGACTGAAAAACCTGAGGCTGATGACCTAAAGGTATTTGGAAGAGTGTTATGATGGGAATACAGTGTACATAGCATGATTAGTTCATCATTTGCCTCTCATATTGTTGACAAGCTGGTGCAAAATCTTGTTGTGGGGTCTGTGGGAAGGAACTCTTGGCACACTTAGAAATAGCCCAGATTTTGAAAGGCTACTAAAATGACTTTCCAGAACAAATTAGGTAACTCACTACATTAAGAAATATTTTGCATGGGTTCTGATGGCTATTGGCTGAAAGCCTAGTCCATTCAACGAACATATTGTGAATGATCAGATTGCTTCTTGCCATGTGCAAGCGTATTTTTCTAAGAGTACATGTGTACTTATTTGAAATCTATACAGTGTTTAATACTGCCTTATGTTTAATAAATACTGGAGTATGTGGTGAGCCATGCTGCCCAGAAAGTTCTCGTGTTGCCACCCTCCAGACCTAATGTGGAGGAACCACAGGAAGATGAATGCAGATTCCGGGATGGTTTATATGGGGGAGAGGTGGTCCTTCAGGTATTGCAGTCCTGAGCTGTTTAAGACTTTATAGGTCAAAACCAGATTGGGCCCAAAAAATAATCGGCAGCCAGTGCAGTTGGGCCAGGATTGGTGTAATATTCTCAAACTGTCTCGTCCCAGTGAGCGACACTAGGGATTTGGTCATAGCAACTGATTTTTGGCGCGGGGGTGGGGAGTTGTTGTAAATAATTAAGTGCTGCAGAGTAGACTAAGAGGGTGCCACTGACGTGTGTTCCCCCCTTCCTCCTCTCTTCTGTATGAATTTGCTTATCTTTTCCAATTTTGCCCCAAGTGTAGCATTGCAGTATATACTGATGCCAAGCAAAGTTCAGAGATGATTTGCAGACCCTGATACAAGCCTGCTGGTTTGTACTAACCTTGGTGAAAATGTTAGAGCAAACCAAGGAAAGGAAAAGCAGGAGCAGTTTCACAGTATGCTTCCTGTCTTCTGACCATCATTTAGCAGTGTCTGTGCTGTGTCAGTGTGATCAGCAGCTATCATTGTATGTTGAATTGTGCTGTGACCAGAATCTTGGGCATTCCTTGCATTGACTTGCTAAACTTTATGCCGACTAGGTAAACTATACTGATGGTACACTAATGTAATCTTTTCCACATAAACTCTTAAGTTTATTTTGTGATTTTTTATATATATATATATAAAGCTGCTCATTTACATAATAGTCTAGCATGGTGTTGTCTGCTCTGTCAGTAGTTCTCCAGAGCCTTGGGCAAGCTTCTTTCCAGCTATCCACTAATTTAAGTAGGGTTTTTCATTTTTTCTGGAGGGCCAGGAATGGAACCTGGGACCTTTTGCATGACAAAGCATGTGCTGCACTACATGTGCCATATAGATACTACATTGAATGTATGGAAGCATCAACGTTGTGCCATACTAGCGGTGTTAGAAACTCAGATATATAAGCTAGGTGCCAAATGGCTCTTTAAACTAGGGTTACAGTCACCAAAAGGGAATGCCTAGTTGCCATTTGGGGGACTGATGGCTCAAAGGTCTCCCCCCCCCCATACAACTTTGTTGGTCCCTGAAATTCATTCTGATTGTGCAGATCAAATATAACAAATAGAATTATACAGGATGTGTTGCTAGTGTATGAAAGCAATCAAGACCCAAGGATCATCCTGGGCACCCCAGGGAATTCAGGTGCCACTTGTGAATTCACTTGGTCGCAAGTGGCCGATAGCCAAGGGCAAAATGTGCCGAGCAAATATTAAATGCTGTGTACCACATTCCAAAACTACTTCATATGTACAAACAGGCCGTTTAAATGGTCTTGTTTGGCCTCCTACATTCTGTGTAATGGGGTGGTGCAATACTGTTTTTCTCTTCCTGTCATAGCCCCTCACTGAATCAAATACCACTTTTTATACTTTGTGGATGTGGAGCGCTGTGTGTGGCCTTTGAGTTCCTTCTTGTCCTGTAGTTACATCATAACACTTTCTGGGCTGGTTACCTGATTATCTGTTATGCAGTACAATTTAAATCTCTTAACTGGGTGGAGAGCCCTTCCTTATATTCAGAATCACGCTGTCTGTTCAGTAGTACACCAGAAGGTGTCACTGTTCTTCCAGGTGGATTTTTCAAAGTTAAGCTATTATAGGTTGTATTAAGCTGCTGTGTGTTCATAAAAGGCTACCACAGTATTCTTTCATTTTTGGGACTTGTGCTGCTCTTGTCGATGTTGCTATAGATAATATAGTTGAAACTTGACAGAAGACTTTACAGCCACATTGCATATGTGAACAGTATGTTCCAGTAAGCTTTTCAAGTTCAGACATTGATGTCAAACAGTGATTTCCTCTTAAGCCCCAGGGCAAGGCTAGTTAAAGTAGGCCAGAGTCTTTTTAAAAAGGAGGCTCTGGATAGAGCAGAAAGATGTCACAATTCCTTTGACAATATTACCTTGATACAGTAAAAAATGCAGCAGTAATAAACTACAATTGCTGTATAACATCCATTATGTCAATCTGGGGGTGTTATAGAACCATCTTCTCCCTAGATATTACAAACTGCTTTATTAGTGGCATATACCATATTTTTCCGTGTACTAGACTTCCTCCCTAAAAAAGAATGTCAAAAATTAGGGGGCATCTTATACACAGATAGTGCCAATGGTGGATTTTCTTAAATCTGAGTCCCCAAAAATAAGGGGCGTCTTATACATGGGGGTGGCTTATACACGAAAAACGACGGTAATTCCATATTGGCTAAATCTGTCCAGATAAGGGTAGTAAGTGTTGGGTGTATGGCCAGTAATGGGGCTGACTTTATTCATGTATGGTGGAAATGCCCAATTATCAATCTTTTCAGGAAGAAAATTGCATATGTAATTTCTCTCATAATTCATAAGAAGAGTCTTGCTGAATCAGGCCTAAGGCCCATCTGGTTTCTAAATGTTCTCACAGTGGCCAAATGCCTATGACAAAATGCTATGATATGCTCCCTGGTTCCCTTTTCCCTGTGGCCCTTCCTTCCCCAGAATAGCAGTGACAATGACCTGTGGATAAATGCAAACTAGGATTCAAAGGTCAGGAAGGTGGGTAGCATTAAAAGGCAAGTTCCAGACTTATTTTACCCCTCAAAAAATCCTGCTATGTTTCCTTAGCTCTGGAAATCTTTGTATCAAGGAAGTAAAGTATTTTCCAGGAGCTTGAATAGATGGTGTGCAAGCTCCATATAACGATAGAGAGTTTTGATATCTTGGAAAGAAAAGCTGTACTTTACTACTAGTGTATCCTGGGCTAATTAAGAAACTTGCATACAGTTACTTATTTTGCATACTTCTTTTGGTCATAGGAAGGGGAAATGAGCTTTGCCGAGTTCTGAAGCTCCCCTAGAAGAAACACTTTCCCTCTGGCATTTAAGACTTTCCTCATAATTTCAAGTTTGCTTTTACAGCCATAAAGACTATATACTTTTTCATGAACGTTTGCTTGACCCCCCCCCCCGCCCTCAGTAAGTATTATCATTTATTTAAAGTATTAAATGAATTGTGCCAATGCAACACTTCCCTGGGTGTAATCCAGTTGTTGCTTTGTGAAAGGGGTTTTAATCCAGCTGAGGCTTCAACTAGTGGAAGAGAAAAGGAGTTGATTTTTTAACTATTCATCCTGCAACTCTCTGTGCTACCTTCCATTCTGTTCTGGAGGGTCTACCACCCGGAGCTGATTTTCTGTGGGTCCTGGGAAGTGGAATCTTCATGAGTATAAGGGCAGCAATTTGTTTCCACCTCTCCTTTTTAAAGAAATTGTCTCAGACTTCTAAAAGAATTCCAGTCACTGAATGCATTGAATAAAAAAATCTAAAAAGGTAACAGCAGAATATGCACCTTAAAGTGTGTATCTTGCAGAGGACTCTCCTCAAGGATTCTGTTTCTAAATTTGAATATAGGTAAACTACAAGAGGTAACAAGTGAGACCATTCCTTCTGGTTAAGTCATCCAGGTAATGTTCACAGAGGAATAATTAACTTTGCCCATGATTACTAATCTGACTATGCTGATATGAGCAAGTTAATACACAGTGCCCTGCCCTTTTCAAGTGAGCCTTTGACACTTGCTTATGTGCTTTAAAACACTTAAAATCCTTTGAGGAGCTCCTTCTCTTTATGCCCCTTTCCAGATTTGGTTAGAATGCTGCCATGTTAGAGTTCTAAATTTAAACAGTGTTGAATTTGCAACACCAAAATACTTTTTCCTGAATATTACTTCCAGTGATACTCTAAGAAGCGATGCTGACTTCTCACTGTAACTTTGGTATTTGTCTTTAGCTCTGGTGGGAGTTCAGTGTAAGATGTGAAAGATCAGGTTGTTACCATACCCTCTCTCCTCTTCACCCCCATTCCCAATGGCATGCTGCTTTTGTATAGTGCAGTCATGATCTTTGACAAAAAGGCAAGTAGTTTGAACTGTCTCTTGCCCTTTGGAAAGAGCGAAGATTCTCTAGAATCCTTTATTCTGTTGTCGGATCCTGTGCCAAGGACTAAAGTCTGCAAATAATGCATCATAGATTGCCACCCCAGGTCTTTAACAGGAAGAGGTATTCAGATGGTTACTTAAAATGCCAAGAGGAATGAGGGGCACAGTGTGAGTCATGCACTGTCTATTGTGAGTCAAGGTTAGAAAACCACTAATAGGCTATAGGGATCACCAACTGCCAGTCTCTGAATCAAATTATCCTACCAGCTACCAATCCAGATGCAAGAGGGGTATAGGTGGAAATAGGAGATGTACTAGTAGAACTTTCTAGCAGGTCATTTCTGGGAGTAGGGGTACCACCTTGGCACAACCATTTGCTTCTCAAAGTAACCCTCTTAGAAAAACCTAGTTGGTGTCTGGTCTAGAAAGTAACATATGGTTGTCCCTCATGCATCTAAGCCTAATGTAGTGGGTTTGATGGTTAATCCAAGCAGGAGCAAAAAAAAGGAAACCCAGAACAAAGTCTCTGTCTCCTTCATTACTTTTTTCTGC